GATAGAGCGTCGGCCTGCGGATTCAAGGGTCCCAGGTTCGATTCCGGTCAAGGGCATGTACCTTGGTTTCGGGCACCTCCCCAGTAGGGAGTGTGCAGGAGGCAGCTGATCGATGTTTCTAACTCTCTATCCCTCTCCCTTCCTCTCTGTAAAAAATCAATAAAATATATTTAAAGAAAAAACGCTTCTTAATCCTAAGGCGTTAAAAAAAATTACAAAAATTGCAACCTTTTACTATTCTGTTGGCAGTTTAAAGAACCGGCTCTGCAGACAGATCCGAGAGAGAAGACATGCTGACCTGGAGGTGTTTTCCAAACATTTCCTTACTTTTCCGTGGGAAACTGTCTCTTTCCAACCACAGCCCGAGGTGAAGGTACGAGCGCTCAGGGAACCCTCTCTTCGTTGGTGCACAACAGACACATGTAACTTTTAATGCCTTCAAATGGGTTAGATTTGCAATATACACTTTTACAAATGAAACTACACGTGCCAGAGCTGAAAGGAGCATTTGCTGTACCCACCCAATGCATCAGAATCAGAACTCGTTCTCTCAAGGGCTATGGAGATGGGGCTGTAGCAAAAGCAAAAGCAAAATAAAACCCCTGCCCGGCCGGCGTGGCTCAGGGGTTGAGCATCGGCCTAGGAACCAGACAGCTGGGAGGGGGTAGACAGCTGGGAGGGTAGACAGCTGGGAGGGTAGGACAGCTGGGAGGGGGTAGACAGCTGGGAGGGTAGACAGCTGGGAGGGTAGGACAGCTGGGAGGGGGTAGACAGCTGGGAGGGTAGACAGCTGGGAGGGTAGGACAGCTGGGAGGGGGTAGACAGCTGGGAGGGTAGACAGCTGGGAGGGTAGGACAGCTGGGAGGGGGTAGACAGCTGGGAGGGTAGACAGCTGGGAGGGTAGGACAGCTGGGAGGGGGTAGACAGCTGGGAGGGTAGACAGCTGGGAGGGTAGGACAGCTGGGAGGGGGTAGACAGCTGGGAGGGTAGACAGCTGGGAGGGTAGGACAGCTGGGAGGGGGTAGACAGCTGGGAGGGTAGACAGCTGGGAGGGTAGGACAGCTGGGAGGGGGTAGACAGCTGGGAGGGTAGACAGCTGGGAGGGTAGGACAGCTGGGAGGGGGTAGACAGCTGGGAGGGTAGACAGCTGGGAGGGTAGGACAGCTGGGAGGGGGTAGACAGCTGGGAGGGTAGACAGCTGGGAGGGTAGGACAGCTGGGAGGGGGTAGACAGCTGGGAGGGTAGACAGCTGGGAGGGTAGGACAGCTGGGAGGGGGTAGACAGCTGGGAGGGTAGACAGCTGGGAGGGTAGGACAGCTGGGAGGGGGTAGACAGCTGGGAGGGTAGACAGCTGGGAGGGTAGGACAGCTGGGAGGGGGTAGACAGCTGGGAGGGTAGACAGCTGGGAGGGTAGGACAGCTGGGAGGGGGTAGACAGCTGGGAGGGTAGACAGCTGGGAGGGTAGGACAGCTGGGAGGGGGTAGACAGCTGGGAGGGTAGACAGCTGGGAGGGTAGGACAGCTGGGAGGGGGTAGACAGCTGGGAGGGTAGACAGCTGGGAGGGTAGGACAGCTGGGAGGGGGTAGACAGCTGGGAGGGTAGACAGCTGGGAGGGTAGGACAGCTGGGAGGGGGTAGACAGCTGGGAGGGTAGACAGCTGGGAGGGTAGGACAGCTGGGAGGGGGTAGACAGCTGGGAGGGTAGACAGCTGGGAGGGTAGGACAGCTGGGAGGGGGTAGACAGCTGGGAGGGTAGACAGCTGGGAGGGTAGGACAGCTGGGAGGGGGTAGGACAGCTGGGAGGGAATAGGACAGCTGGGAGGGTGTAGGGACAGCTGGGAGGGGGTAGACAGCTGGGAGGGGGTAGGACAGCTGGGAGTGTAGGACAGCTGGGAGGGGGTAGACAGCTGAGAGGGGGTAGACAGCTGGGAGGGTAGGACAGATGAGAGGGTAGGACACTTGGGAGGGTAGTGGACATTTTTGGGGACGTTTTATTTTAAACCATCATTTGAACTTTTCATTCTGAGATTCCCGACAGCACAGAACGACTTGTGTGTCACCGAGAGAGGAAGGGTTTGAAGCTCCTGTAAACACATACCTTGACTGCCAGCTGCTGTCCTATAAGACTCGGAAAGCAAGGCGCTGATGTTCTGCCTCAGGCTAGCGGGAGAAGACATTGTAAGGTTCCAGATTAGCTCATTTACCTTGGCAGCCTAGACTTGCACGAATTTTGTGCATCGTGCCTCTAGCCAACCCTACTACCGTATGAGAAGGAAATATATTTCTAGTGCAAACAAAACCAAGTATATGCAACACTGTATTTGTATATTTAGGTACGTTTTTCTAAGAAGGACAATAGTTTATAGCTTCACTTTGTTAGGTCAAAGAACTACACTTTTAAGTTTAGTTACATTAAAAATAAATGTCAGAATTTCTCACTTAAAGGAATTAATTTAGTTAATACTATGGAAAAGTGAAGCTTTTCTTAACTCCTTTTTTTGAATATTTCTGCATTTTTACATAACACATTTGCTTTTTAAAACAAGGCATAGTTAGATATTAAAGCAAACTTTTTTTTCTGCCAGACAAATCAAACGTGGAGTTTAATGAATATACTACCTTAACTTTTTAATTTCGTTATATAGTAGGACTTCTCCTAAAATTGACTCATATTTCACATCGAATCCTCCTGAGCCCTCCAACTTTGCAAGCATCTGTTTAATGGCACTGGTTTTCCCAATACCAAAGTCTCCTAACGGGGGGG